AGAGAGAGAGAGAGAGAGACAAAAAGCAAGAACAGCTAGCAGAAAGCAATGCAAGAGACACAGAGAACGAGGAGCCGAACCATAACAGCCCTAAGCCCTAAGTGTGCTGTGACTTGGTTCTTCTCGGGGGGATGTTGCAGACCTGCCCACATGGCGTGTTTCCTCAAAGCAGAGGAAGGAAAGCGGTCTGCCGAGGGGGGGGGGGAGTTTAGGGTTTGGGGTTTGGGGTGTAGGGTTTAGGGATTCCGGTGAAGCTGTGGACCCCCCGACACCCAGTACCCCCAGGCTCTCTGCCTTCCAGGAGACCAACAAGGGCGAGCAGGAGGCGCAAACCCATCGCGCGCAGCTCACATGCTTCCTCTTCACTGCGAAGGCTGTGGAGCCGCGCTTCTGGGAAGACGGCTTCGGTTTAGGGTTTAGGGTTTAGGGGCTTAGGGTTTAGGGTTAGGGTTTAGGGTTTCAGGGTTTAGGGTTTAGGGTTTAGCGTTCAGAGTTCAGGGTTCAGGGTTTAGGGTTTAGGGTTCGGGGGCACCTGAACGACTTCGATGCGCAGGTAAAGTCTTCCAGGACCTGGTGTCTAACAGAGTCTAACATGTCAATACCACGAAAGCTTGACACTCTGGGAAGCCCTAAACCCTAAACCCAGTCAGGACCAAACAAACCCCTCTTGTGTCCAGTGCTGCAGATGCCAGGCTGCGGCCATGCTCCGATCAGTCGTACCTTCAAGCTTCCCAGAGACTCCAAAACCCCTCAATTAAGGACTATGCTTTAAACTGTGATAGGGACCCTAATAAGACTTAAGGTATTTTCCTTCATTGAGGGGTTTTGGAGTCTCTGGGTTCGCTGGAAGAAAGAGGCTGGACCTCTCAAGAGGTTCCAGCCAATCAAGCAGCAAAGCCCGCAAGGAAGGCTCCCCGACTTTGGGGAAGCCTCACCCCCCAGAGAACCCAATAGACCTTGAACCTAATTAAGGAATATACCTTAAACTATCATAGGAAACCCTAAACCCTAAACCCTCATAGGAACCCTAATAGGATTTACGGTCTATTCCATATTTAAGGGGTTTTGGAGTCTCCGGGTAGCGCCTTCGGCGCCCTTCGGGGCTCCTACGTCTCTGGGCTGACGCAACCGGTGGTGAGGTTCCAAACATGAGATTCACAGCGAAACACGAATACAACCTTGGCTACGATCCAGGCAAGGCCCCCGAAGCCGGCCAGCATCATGCCGACACCGATGACACCTAGAAATAAAAGCAAGGGGTCGAAATCCCGGCAAACAGACCCAGGGTCTTTCATGAGAATTGGCAGCAGGAATGCCGACAGCTGGAGCCCTTTGCCACCTGTGGGAGGGGGTGGGTCATGACCAGCGGGTTTTGTAAGTGCCTAAGCTGCTTAGAGTCTGCGGCTATAGCGTCGGAGCTTATGAGACGGGGCTTCTGGGAGGAGCCTGCGACAAGGAGCCCCACGCCGATGGATGCCATCGCCTGCAAACGTGCAAAGCTGTCCATCGTTTCGAAGGAAAGGGAGAGGTAAGAGCTTTGCAACCAGAGCTGCAGCAAGTTCTCCAAGACGAGCTTCGTGCCGATGATGACATGCATCCGCGCCTCAACATCCTCTTCGTCGAGTTGAACGACCTCTGCACCGATGAAGAGCACAAGTTCTTCGTCGCCCGATGCGACTCGACGTCTCAACGCATTCATTTGCAGCCGCCCAGGCTCGGTGCACACCACTGCGAAGTAAACTGCGACCATGACCGTGAGGCCTTCAAGCCAGCCGAAGGCTGCCCAAAGGATGATCATGAGCGCAAATGCCGGTGAACCAACGGGTGCAAATGGAGCATACACACACAAGAGCTGTGGCACGTAGGCAGCCGTGACAAACCTCAGATTCACAGGTTCAGGGAAAGAATCTTCTACTTCGCCGAAGCTCCCACAAAGACAACAGGAATCCTTCAGGATCCCAGGCGCAGCATCAACGCCACACCGGAGAAGCCCATCTTGTCAAGAACGGGAACCATCAAATCCCCTCCTGGGACTTCGTGCCAGGATTGCAGCCACAAGCTTGTGATTTGCTCACTGCACGCCGCTGATGTGCCAGTGAAGAGCGCATCCGAAGCCATGTCAAAGTGCTCCAGCGCCGCAAGGCCAAGCATGAAGATGAGTTTTGGGGTGCTGTCGTGGAGTCTCCTTTTCAATGAGCCTGTCATGGCCCAGAAGATGCATGCAAAGTGTATGACAAAGCAGACACCGTAGGTGATGTAGGCCACATTGGGAGCCCCTTCTTCACATGTCGCTCCGAAGCCAAGCGTGACCAGCGCGATGGGCATCACTACCCAGTAGAGCAGAGCTGCCAACACCAAAGCCGGGTCCCGTCCGTCCACGTCCACGCGCTCGTATCCCATTGGGTCAGGCATGAAGATGCCCACAGCGAGATAGATGTAGATGAGCGCCACCAAGATGACGCAGGGCCAGACCGCGTTCCATGGAATCCCCGCGTCAGCGTGGATTTCGTAAGTCTCCTTCGGGCGAAGCAACCCTAAACTCCTAAACCCCTAAACCCTAAACCCTCTATAAACCCTAAAGCCTAAGCCCCTAAACCCTAAACCCAACTGTCACAACGCTCTTAGCCAGGGTTGGAGATCCGGGGCTTCTATCCTGGTAGCACACTCCCCCTCAAGCCCTTTCCCTAGGGGTCCAAGTACCTAATAGTCATACACTCTTCTGAATACTAACCTACCAAAATGTACTATCCGTAACCCAAGTACATGAGTATTAGGTCCTTTGGACCATTAGGGTTTGGCCTTGCCTGCGGCTCATCTGCTCCCAGTCCATCCGTCAATCTTTGAATATGCTCCTCGGCATGCGGTACTTGTCCACGCATGCACCACGTCTTTCGCCGCTAGCAGATCGGTAAAGGACCTAATGTAACCCTAAAAATGCCGGTACCTACTCTACATTATATATATATATAGATAGGTAGGGTACTAGAGTCCCTAGGGCCCCATGTAGTATAGTAGGTACCTGGAGGGCGAGGGTAAGCTCATGTCGCGCAGCCTCTAAGACTCGAGGGCAATCCGAGGGTCGGCGGTGGACTGTGCCGACTTCTCAACGGCTTGCACCTGGGCAGCTTCGGGGAATGCACAACGGCATGCAACGGACGGAATAGCTTCCGACACGACTTCAAAGTGACCCCTCCCACCTGTGAGGTCTACGTCCCAAAAGCACCATCACATGTTTGAAAGGGCCACTTGATAGCCTGACCTGCAGATTTCAGCCCTGGACCGCCCCATTTCGCAGCCATGGGGTTCCCAAAAAACTGCCAAGGTCAAACTTCAAGCAAGCCTACCATGTGCGGCAAGGAAAAAACTCCAAACTCCAAACACCAAATCGCCTTCCCTAACCCCCCGGGTGCCTACTATAAGCTCTATATAGGGTACTAGAGCCCCTAGGGCCCTATCTAGTAGGTACCTGGAGGGTTAGGGCTTCTTCCACCCTCCTAAACCCTAAACTTTAAACCCCTAAACCCTAAACCCCTACACCCCTCCCTAAACCCCGAAACCCTAAACCCTCGGCACCTCGGCCTTCGCTTCCTGCAGGAGGCTTTTGGCGTCTTCTCCAGAGCCCGCGTCGGCCGCCTCAGGGTTCCCAGAGACTCCAACAACCCCTAAATTAAGGAATACGGTTTAGGGTTTAGGGTTTATAGGGTTTATAGGGTTTAGGGCTTAGGGCTTAGGGTTTAGGGTTTAAGGTAGTTAAGGAATATACCTTAAATCTTACAAGAGCTCCTATGATAATTTATTAAAGTATATTCTTTATTTGAGGTGTTTTTGGAGCCTCAGGGTTTTTGCCCCGAAGGTAGGAAGTCTCTTCGGAATCCATCTGTGAGAGGCTCCGAGTGTTGACCCTAACCCTCACAGGTACCTGCTCTTTAGGGCCCTAGGGGCCCAAGTACCCAATATAGTAGGTATACGTACCGGGGTTCGGGTGAATGTCTTGTAGCATGGAAAGCAATCTCGATACACTCCCCACTTCGGCCTGGAAATTTTCTTAAAGATCCCTCTTGACTTGCACCATGGCTGGGCTCCAAGGCAGTGGATGCACGCTGACAAACCCTAAACCCTAAACCCTCAACCCTAAACCCTAAACCGCCTAAACCCTAAACCCAATCCTCCGGACCGCATTTTGCACCGAAAAGGCGGCGACTCTCAATCCACTCCATTCTTAAAGCTGCCCGTAACCCTCCAGGTACCTACTATATAAGTTTAGGGTTTAGGGTTTAGGGTTGAGGGTTTAGGGTTTAAGGCTGCCCCGTAATCCTCCAGGTACCTACTACTATAGAGGGTACTGGAGCCCCTAGGGCCCTATATATAGTATAGGTACCTGGAGGGTTAGGGCGCTGATTACAAATTTCCTTCTTCCGACACCTCAGCTCCTCAACTCCCCTGTCTTGCCTTCTTGCTCTCCGTTGCTAGGCGATCTGCCAGCTTCTGGACATCTTCGCGCACCTGGCACTTTGGCCCAGCCCATGGATGTGGCAGACCCCCGGCTTTGTGCATTGAGCAGAAGCTGTGCTTCGGGCTCCCAGACCGTCAAGGCTTCTGCGTTCAAGGATCATGAGCACACTGCAAATCGACCGGTGGTTCTGCTGCCGTAAAGGCTTGAAAAATCTTACTGCTCTTGCTTGAAGGGCTTCGCCTTGCCTTCTCGTTCTCTGTTGCAAGTCCGTCCGCCATCTGCTGGATGTCGTCCTGCACCTAGTAAGCTCGCTTCTTCGAGGGAAGGTGGGTTTACAGGCGAGAATAAAGAAGCTGGTTGATTTAGGGTTTGGGGGTTTAGGGGTTTAGGGTTTAGGGTTTAGGGTTAAGGAGACATCTGAAGTGGTTTGGGACAAGACGTGGCCACAAAAACGCGTGATCCTCTGTTGAAGCTCCGTGAAACCTCGAAGGTCCGAAGCCGAAATCCCGCCGCCTTGCCTTCTTGTTCTCTGTTGCAAGTCCATCTGCCAGGTGCTGCACATCGCTGTGAACCTGGAACTTCTGAACAATCCCTTCTGAGGCTTCTTGGGGCGATGAGAGACCAAGGAGGGCGTCGGGATGCGCTGGGTAGGTAAGGAAATCTCGAAGGAAGCTGGAACACCGACCGCGGCATGCAAGCAGTGCCTCAACCCTTAACCCTTTCTGATCGTGCATGCCTTCTTTGCAGCTCTTCAAACCGAAAAGCACGCCTCGTAAGGGGGTAACCCTAAACCCTATAAACCCCACAAGCCCTATAAACCCTATAAGCCGTATAACCCGAACATCCAGAAACTGCCTCCGAAGGCGCTGGCGACTGCGAGCGCAAGGACGCCCCGTGTCATGGGCGCTCCGTGCTCGCAGCAGGCGGAGCTCTTGAGCCCAAATTCTCAGAAGAGCTTCGGATTGCTTGTCTGTCACAGTGCATGAAGGCATCCTATAATCCCTAAACCTTAAACCTAAAACCCCTAAACCATGAGCAAAGCTGCATCGACATGGCGTTTCGGCTTTTTTTGGGGACTTTGGGCTCATACTTCGAGCTGCTTGAACTGTGACATGCCATCCGGGCCTCCGGACGGCGTACCGGACGCACAGCTCGGCTCCGCCATAAAAGGCACCGGTGCTCAATCTAAGCTCTTTCCATCCAAAGTTTGGGGGGCAGTCCTAGCAGACCTCATACATAGTCCCACGAATTCACATCCATTCGAGTATTGGCGAAGATACCAGAAATTCTGAGCAGGAAGCAGGGCTTGGCCACGACTAACTTGCACCTACAGCTGAAGAGATAACTTGGGGCTGTTGCTGTCCAGCTTGTGTACTGATACGGATCACGTATCCTCGCATGACTACCAGTAGGGCCTAAGATGGTTTAGGTATGTGTTCAGGGCAAGTGCTAGCAAGCTTCAGTGACTGCCGGAAGGTACCGCTTTCCAAAGTCGCGTCTGTCTTGCATAGTAATCTCACCCGGCACTTGAGCCACGTCTCCTGCAACCGACAACATGACACCCCCAAAGGCAGAAATACGTGAAGCGTCGCAATCCAAGACGATGCAAGCGAAAATCCGCGGGCTCCCCAAATATTGGCACCGTCCGTTTTCATGTTCTCTTTCTTGCACCGTAGATCTACGGGCAGTGCATTAACATGATCTGTTAAAAGTAGGCGCCGGTGTGGTATCGTGGCCTCTGAGCTTGCCCCGACTTGCGATTCAATAGGGCCTTGGGGGTGCATGATCATACAATTCTATGAGTGCAAAAAGGAGATATTACTTCTAACAGTGAAGGTGTCTGATCCGAGCCTTGCCTCGGTTCATGCAACTACATCTGATCCGAACAGCTCTAACCTTGTCCAGGAGGGCACCGGCCGACTAGCCTAGCCGTTTTCGAGTCGAATCATCCCGATACCCAGCCCCAAACCTAAACCAAGCCGCTGCATCAAGGATTGGGCGGGCGTCCAAGGTCTGAGGTCAAGGATGTTACTGAACATCCATGGCCTACTACCCCACCGGCGCATCGCCCACCCTCCATGGTGGGGGCCACTTCTGCTAGGGGCTGGCTTCTTGGGTTTCTCAGCTAGGGCTTTTGGCTTCGGATTTTCACACCACGGAATTCGCAGTATTTGGGCTCCCCCAGCTTGCCTCACTGTGGGCAAGATGCCGGAGTGGGGTCTCACAATTGAATTTGAGGCCTTGAATTTGGATAGTCTCTTCGAGCCTCCAGGGGGGTCAGTTTTCTCCTTCATACGGCTTGGTGTTTAGGGTTTCACGTTTTAGGGTTTCTAGGGGTTTATAGGTTTGGCTCAATGTTTAGGGTTTCACGTTTTAGGGTTTGTAGGGGTTTATCGGTTCAGGATGGTTTTGGATTTTCAGAAAATTTAAGGAAGCGCCGCAGGGCTTCTTCAGGATTCTGCGTTGGGGGGTTCTACGGTTGAATATATAAATTTTGCATTACCCACAATATAAGGAGTCTACCATAATTCCCATAGTTTAGGGTCCTTAAGGTAATGCAGGATTTCTATCATCAACCGTAAGTCTGTTGCAGGGTTTAGGCACCGTGGGCTTCGAAGTCGAGCCGTCGCAGTTTGTCAGAGGTCCGTGGGCGCCGCCAGCTGCATCGAAGACTCCTGCAGAAAGCCCCGGCAGCTTTAAGATCCGCTTGGGGACGGGTTTCCGGCAAAGTTGAGTGGCCCATTAGAGGTCGTGTTTCATGCAGAATACATGCAAGAGGAAACAGGGGAACTTAGAGGAAATTGCTCTTCAACTGCACCGACGTACGCTGCAGTTGACTGCAACAGTGTGAAAGAAGGAGCGGAGTGGCCGTGCTTTGTGATTGCACCATCCTTGCGAGCACTCTGCGAGACCTGCTGCTAAACACCGGTGGGACTCTAGCAACCACATGGAGGCTCATGGCTGTACGCATGCAGGCCTACTACAACAGCAAGGCAACCACAGACGAAGCTGTTTAAAACCCCGACGGGTTCAGGCGTTGCAGCTCAGCTGCGAAAAATGCAGTCGCTGTCTTCCCTGACTGTCTGATTTCAGAAAAAACATCGCATGCTCCTGTCCTTGTTGCGCAAATTCGCGGACTTGCTGATGTCTACTGGATGGAGTCCAACCTCAGTGCGAATGCGTCCTGCACACAGCACTCAGCAGCTAAACCGTAAACCCATACCTCCTATTGTAAATCTTAACACCTATTATATGTCCTGCGATTCCCAAACCCTGAAGCCCCAAACGTAACCCCCAGCCAATGAAACCCGCAAGAAACCTCAGCAAACACCTTTTGTTTCCCTGAGCCTCCAGGTACCTACTATATACAGCCCCAGGGGCCCAAGTAGCCTATACACCCTAAACCCTAAGCCGTTATGGTACCTGGAAGGCTAGGGTTTGCTGAGGCGGAGGCCCCACGCCGAACTTGCTCTTGAGCTCAGCATCCAGCGCCCTGAGTCTCCAGAGACTCCAAAAGACTACCCATAGGCTCCAGAGTAGTTCCTTTTTGGGATTACCTTATAGGATCCTAAATACCAACCACAACAAGGAACTACCATGGAGTCTATGGGTATTTGCAGGGCCCGGAAAAAGCGTACGGGTATGTGGTATGTGCCTACATATACATATAAATATATACATATACATAGTATACATATACAT